GGTTTCCGGTATGTGAATTTTATTTGAGTATTGCCCTATTTTAGCCTTGGACTCGGCGAGTCACTAGGTCCGACTCGCCGAGTAGGGACGAGACGCAGGACACGTTTAAGTTGGCGACTCGGCGAGTCCATATCCTGGACTCGGCGAGTCACCGCTGTTGGATGAAACCCTAAGTTTCAGGGGTTTGCACCCTATTTAAACCCCATATCTGCCCCTTGCCAGCCCCATTCACCCCCAGAGCTCCCAACCCTCGTCCTAACTCGTCCTAAGCTTGTTCTTGTGAATTTGAGGCTCTTGTGTGCATTCTTGAAGGTTTTGAGGCAAGAAGGGGAAGGAGATCAAGAGGAAGGAGAGCCATCCAAGCATCATTGTGTTTTTCAGCTGTTTCATTGAGGTATATCTCGTTTTCCCCCTGTTTCTATGCTTAAGATTTCATTTAAGACACTCTTGAGCAATTCCTCAAGCTTGTTTGTGCTTAATGTTTCGTAATAAGTGGATGGGCCTTTAGATCTAGGCAAGATTGAGCTCCAGGAGCTCAGATCTGTTAGCTTTATGGCCCATGTGGCTTGTTCATCCTAGATCTACCCTTTTGAGGCATTTTGAACCCTAAAATCCATATTAGTGAGTATCCACACGTAAAGTTGGAAACTTTACGTGTGATTGGTGTCCTAGAAGTCCAGATCTATGAATGGCATGAACTGAAATCGAGTAAATCGGTGTATTTGGTGGATGCATGGCGACGACTCGGCGAGTCGTATAGGTGACTCGCGAGTCTGGTCGCGAGTCACCGAATTGGTCCCTTCATGATGTATCGAGTTGAGCCGTGAGTCACAGGGGGTGACTCGGTGAGTTGGGAGCTGAACTCACCCATGTTAGGACTCGGCGAGTCAATGCCCTGACTCGGCGAGTCCAAGGCAATCTTCATAGATCAAGAACAGACTCGGCGAGTTGTTCATACAACTCGGCGAGTCTTAGCATAAAGTGTTCTTCGGATGAAGATGAACTCGACGAGTTGTTCATACAACTCGGCGAGTAGGATGAAGAGGTTGAACGTCAGTCTAGAAGATGAACTCGTCGAGTCATAGCCTAACTCGACGAGTAGAAACAGGGACTCCGGACAATCGTCTGATAGGGACTCGACGAGTTGGAGAGCCAACTCGGCGAGTCGGGTCAACTGAAAGTTGACTCTAACATTGACTTAGAGCTAGACCGGGGGTAAAATGGTCATTTTACCTAAAGGACAGTTAGCAGTGTTTGATTGAGTATGTTGTGGGAATTGCAGCCGGAGGACTCCCGGAGCAGCAGCAGTCAGTTAGTTCCCGATCAGTTCAGCAGCTACTTTGAGGTGAGTTACCTTCCAGTAGTGGTGGGCCTAAGGCCACAATGCCGGCCCACCAGTAGGGGACGTATGATAGATGATTGTCTTTGTGATATCATCTAGGTTTGCTATTACCTGTTATGTTATATGCTCTCATGATACGTTATATGCAATAGTAGTAGAGTTCGGTTGTTAGGACCGCAGGGTAGTCAGACACCCCAGAAACATCTGACCGTATGTGATGGTATGCTTGTATGTTGGCCTGTTATGTTATGCGATAGAGGTAGCGGGAGGGGACCAGTCCCCGAGGATCGGTTGTTAGGACCGATGGGTAGTCAGCACCCCAGAATGGCTTGACATGGGTAGTCAGCACCCCAGAATGGCTTGACACGGGTAGGACGGCACCCCAGAATGGCCGTATGGGTAGGTCGGCACCCCAGAATGGCCGTACCGGGTAGTCAGGCACCCCAGAATAGCCTGGCAGTATTTATGTTATGTGTTTGCATGGTATGTGGTACGTTGGGGGAACTCACTAAGCTTTGTGCTTACGTTTACAGTTTTGTTTTCAGGTACCTCTGCACCGAAGGGGAAGGAGCCGGCGCGGTAGCGGCACGTCATGCACACACTCTGTCTTCCGCATTTACGAGAGTCACTGGGATTGTACTCTGATATTTTGATGGGATGTATGGTTTGACCTTTTAAAACATGGTTGCGATGTGTTATGGTGTGATCAACAATGTTTTTATTGGATTAATGTTTTCTAAAGTAATATTTTAAAATGAAATTTTCGGACGTAAAAATTGGGTCGTTTCACAAAATTACCACTCAAGGTAAGTATAATGAGAAGACTCACCTCGTAAGCAAGAAAATAAACCTCGTACACGAATCACCGATCTAGCCTCCGCCTAACACATATGATAATTATCTCTAATTAACAATTCATCACAACTCTAAATAAACGAAGTTATTTTCTCTCTCTCTCTCACTCTTGGGATGGGTAAAAGACCATTTTACCCCTCCATGGTCCCCATAATCCCTGTCTTGACCAAACCCTAAAGTCAACAGAAGTCAACACTCGAGTCCACAGTCCTTGCTGCCCGAATCGCTGAGTGCATCTATGTGACTCTTCGATTCCCCTCGTTCCTTCAACAATGTCATGGAAATCCATCTTAAATATTCGAGTTGTCTCATCAACTCGTTGTGTTACTCATGTCCAGACTCGTTGGGGAAACCCCTATCTGACTCGTCGAGTCCCTTAAGTCTATTTTCTCATTCATACGTTTTAAGGCAGAGTTACAACCCCAAACTCTAGATCTAGCCTCCCAAGGTTGAGATACCACGTAAAGCTGCAAGCTTTACGTCCATGCATGGTATTTAGGGCTTGAAATTCCAAAACAAGTTCCATTTAGGGTCCTAAGCATAAAATCTCTCCTCTAGCTTGATAAATTTTGGACCTTTTGGCTTAAGGGACCTCAAAAGGTCCAAATCCGAAGTCTCAATCTCCTGGCAAACTCAAAACATTCAAAGTTCACAAGGAAAGATGGAAAAGGCCCTAAAACACAAGATCTAATCAAAATAATGAGCAAGGTGGTGACTTTTACCTTCAAACAAAAGTTAAGGATGGAGAAACACTGGATCCAACAGTCCCTTTTCATTCCAAGATATGATACTCTTCTATTCTCTTCCAAAAGTGCACCAGAATGCTTAATGTTAACTCTTCTTTCTCTCTTAGACCACTCTA